GGAACTGCAGATAGAATTTGAGCCATGAGTTTCATCAGGCAGGCCAGAGTAGATGCACCTGTGCCAATAGAAGTCTAAAATAGTTCTGTATGCTTGTTCTCCCTACCCCCATAAGTATGCTTGCAATGTGCATGTGCACATGCATGCTTGCTTAGATGTGTGCGTGCACACACCCGTTTACTTGTAGTTCCTGGAGTGAGAGAGAACATTTGCAGCTGTTTTCTAGCCTGGCATATTTTCCAGCTGTCCACCATTGTGAAGAGAAACATGTGCTCAGTAGTGAAAGTAAGCCTTATATATAAATCCTTACTAGCCCATCTAAATTCAGAGCTAGGTGTGGATTATGAAGCTCTTATCGTTGTATTTTGTCTGTAAATTTAGAGAAACTTAACTGGGAGGTGGTGGCCCATGCCTTTAATTAGCAGGGAGTTCTGAATTCAAGGCCTGCCTGGTCCACAGAGCAAGTTCCAGGTCAGCCAGGACTATACAGAGATACCCTGTCTTAAAAAAAAAAAAAAAAACTTGGCCGGGCAATGGTGGTACACGCTTTTAATCCCAGCACTTGGGAGGCAGAGGCAGGCGGATCTCTGTGAGTTCGAGACCAGAGACCAGCCTGGTCTACAGAGCTAGTTCCAGGACAGGCTCCAAAAAGCCGCAGAGAAACCCTGTCTCGGGGAAAAAAAAAAAAAAAAAAAACTTGGTGAAACTTTGGTTTTACAAAAGGTAGACATAAAATTATAGTTATTTACTAACCTTAGAATAAGCACCGAACCATCTCTCCAGCCCCCCAAAGATTATTTTTTAATTTTATGCATAATATATACTATCAATGGCAGATTTGGACTGGGATATGATGGCACACACCTTTAATCTCAGTTAATTTGAGATTAACTCGTCTACATGGGGAATGTCTCAAAAACAAACAAGCAAGCAGACAAGTAAGTCAGGTCTAGTATTAGAAATGTAGCTCAGTTGATGGTGTTCACCTAGCACAAACAGTATGGCCTCCATCCCAGAAACGGTGGATATGCCTGTAATCCCACTACTCCTGAAGGCCACGATAGGAAGATCACGTCAGCGTTGTATTGATTTTGGGGCTAGTCTGGCCTACATGAGATCACGTCTAAAAACAAAACAAGCAGATTGTGGGTGGTGCTGGAGAGATAACTCAGTGGTTAAGAACACTGACTGTTGTAGAGGACCCAGGTTTGAGTCCCAATTCCCATGTAGCAGCTCACATGTCTGTAAACAGCTCTTTGGGATTGATACCCTTTTCCGGCCTCTGAGGGCAAACACCTATACACACAAACTTAAAAATACGTATCTTAAAATGCAGGTAGTTATGGGGTTTCATACTGACATTTATAATGAGAATGAAACGAGATCAGAATAGTTAAATTATTAAATTCATGTAAAGCTGTTACTGTTAATTGATATACATTTCAGTGGATTTAAATAGAATCTTGTTTGGGGTGTGTGTGTCAGGGAGGACAGCCCTATTTGTACCCTGTCTGCTTGGAACCTGCAGTCCCAGAGCTTCTGCCTAAGTGCTTGTGTTCTGAACAAGGAAAACAGATCTGTGTTTGGTACAGTATTTGGGTTATTTGGAAGCTTCAGTTTTGACACACTCTGGTTTTGTTTTGTTTTGTTTTCCTGCCGTTTGGTTTTTGGTGTTTTCATATGTTTGGTTTTTCTTTTGTTTGAGTTTTTTTGTAACAGCCCTGCCTGTCTGTCCTGTCCTGGAACTCACTTTGTAGACCAGGCTGGCCTCAAACTCAGTGTGTGCCACCATACCTAGCTGGCCACTGTGTTTGTGACCAGTCAGTTTGTTTGGAAATTAAGCATTGCTAAAAGTCCTGTCACCTGTGGGTGGCTTTTTAAAAAAGCATATTTGAAAGTCAGTGAGCTTTCAGCTGTAGCACTGATTCCTTTCTGGACTCAGGAAGATTTGTTTTCTAAGATTATTTTCTCTGTATGTATCTTAATTGACATTGGACCTCACATAAGGCAATTTTTTGTGTGTTTTGATTTTTTGGCCATATTTCTATGAAGATGTGCTTAGAATTTTGTAAGAAAAACAATATATACTCTCTGTGGGCCTCTTTTTTATTTGGGGGGGGGCAGGGACTCATTGGGACTTCGTGACTGTCCTGACACTTGGGATTCTCCTGCCTCTGCCTTTGATCACAGGGTCAGGTCGGGTCCTCAGTGTCCCAGTATTTGACACCTTCTTTGTCTCTGAGCAGGGCCACTGTCTCTTTTCATTAGTGTAGAAGGGTTGTTTTGCCTGTTTCTTTCTTACTGCTGTTGCTGATATTTTAAGTTATAAAATAATGAATGGAGGTACTATAAGCCATGAGAATTTATGATAGAGAATGTCATTGTTCTCCATCTAGTTACAAGAAGAAAAAAATACTAGTTTTTCACGCTTTTGAAACCATTTAAGTAGAAAGTTTATTTAGAAATGTGTGTATTCATATTTTTTTCTTGTACCTTTTTTTGTAACTCAGCATTTTGAATTTCATCTGTGTTCGTATGTCCTATTCTATGTTAGGACTGCAGTTTATTTGTCCGTCTTATTTGTGGACATTTAGCTTTTAGTTTACTGTTACCCTGGGCTACCATGGAGGTTTCTTTTCTGGCTCTGATAGCATCTATGAGGGTTTCTCATGAGTGTATTCCTAAAGTGGTTATATGAGTTTACACTCCTTTCATTAATGTAGGGATTCAAGCTGTCCTTTAGGTTTCGCTTACTTTCCCTAAGACTGGCAAGATGGCGCAGGGGTAGAGGTGCTTGTCATCCGGTCCTCTGACCTCCACGTGTATGCGGAGGCACGTCCGTGCCTGTACACATACACAACAAATGAAATCACAAAATCCAGCTCTTGTGCTGGTTATGCTTTAGTGACAAAACAGCCGCAGTGAAGTTGATTATCGCCAGGTATTGGTGTTTTCTCATGCCCTTTTAGCGCTACAAAGATTAGCATGTGAAGGGTGAAGTATTAACGAGGAAGGCTGAGATTCTCGGATTAACATGAATGGTATGGCATTGGTCCTGAGGCTTTTAAGCAAATAGTGGTAGTGAAGTTGTCAATATTGGGGTCAGGTGTTTCCACGAGCATTTCTTGGCCTCTCTTCATTCCTAATCTGTAATTGTAAGTATAAAGAATGAATGAAGAGACTGGTGATGGGCAGTGCTTGGAAATTTGGACCCCCTTTGGATTCTGAAGGACCAGGGTGACTTGTCTGAACAGGTAACAGTGATGTTCTTATTCATGAATACTTGAGGAACGATGTTTGTTTGACATTGAAGTTGGAGGGATGAAGGTTGAGGAAAGGGTAGAGTTACTCTGAGCTCTGGAAGCTTCAGGGCTTTTTCTTGATTTGTGAGCATGGGAAAGTGGTTTTGCTTAGATAGAGTACCTAGAGCCCCATCAGGTTTATTAATCTCCCCTTTTTTGGCCAGTTTCTTGGATATGAAATAGTTATTTTATTGTGTTTCTGTGTTTTGCTCTAAAAATCTAGAGTTCTCTTATCTTTTAAATGGTGGATTATATAACTTCGCTTTCATTGCTTTTGTTTAATGAGCTTCAAGGTTATGGAGAGTTTGTTTATTATCTGTCTGTATTATAACTAGATACCTTGTTAAGAGGGCCGTTGTACACAGGTCAATGCAATCTGTTATTCCTGGTTTCACTCCCAAATATTTCCTTAAAAATATTTCCAGAAACTGAGGATCTGAATTGGCAGACTGGTACCTAGTTACTGCATACATGCTGACTCTTGTCTCCTGTCAGAATGTGTCCCTGCTTTTCTCTTTGTTTGTTGTAAAATCCTCTAGTCTCTCAGAGAACGGCTTTGACTGGTAGGGCCAATAGTACCCTTGTTTTGAGACCTGTTATATTGTTTTCAGTGTCCCTAGTCTCACATGATTGAGCCTTGGGATTTATAAAAACTACTGGAGGATGGCAGGACACATATTTTAATTTGATAAACTGGCACTTCCTAGGCAGCCATCTTGATCCATGTGTCCCTTTTCCCTCCCTTGTGCTCCATTCAGGGTCATGAGTGTAGCTCGGGTCTGTTGCTCATGCAGTGTTTCGTGTAATCTCAAACTGACTGTGTGTTAACCTGTACAAAAAGATTCGACCGATGCCTTTTTCAGCTTTCAAATGAGTTTTTAATTTTTTTATGCTTAGCTGCTTAGGACTATTATCTAACACTTTTTTCATAATAGGTTTTTCATGGTTAGCTTGAAGCCTCTGATGGAAAGGCTGTCATAGTGACTGGTACCCACATGTTATAGGAATACCTTATGGTCCCTATTGCATGGAAATGATATATGAATATTTTAGTCTCAAAATGTAAAAGATGTAATGTAGTTTGGCAGACAGGCCACATTAATCTTCATATAAATTCTAAATGATTCAGAACCCATCCTGTGCCCAGAAGAGTAACTTCCAAATAGATAGGATGGGTTTGACCTAAGTTAAGTTATGGGGAAACCCGTGAGGCTGTTGTCATCTACCTTGACTGATATAAAGAATTTTTGACTGATGCAAGTAATTCTCAAATGCATGCTTCTAACATTGTGAGCAACTGCAAAGCCCATATGAGTCGTCTGAAGTTTTATCATTTGCAGGTATGTGGCGCATTCCCAGACATTCTGCAAGCGCAACGTCGTTAGCTACTTCTCTGTGACTGGGTCCAGATCACGGTCCTTTCAAGACTGACTTCATTGGATCCTCTGAAGAGGACGCCACCAGGCTTTCCTGACCCTGCTACATCACTGTAGAGCGCCATCGGGCAGGAGTGCCAGCATCAACAGGAGACTCACTGGCTCCATCAACGCCTCTGTTTCACCAGGCGTGATCATCTTACCAGCAGAGCAGAGTGCCTTGGTGTGATACCATCACCAGCTGATACTGCTGCGGAACAGTTCAGACTGGTCTGGCTTTCCTTAAGACGCTGGAATTTGAAGGAGCTATTCTGTGAACTGTGCTGCTAGTAAGTGACTGATAGTATTCTAGACTGGACTGGTCCCTGAGTACAGAGAAAACTAGACCACGAGATCTTGAAGAACTGCATTGAGGTGCAAGCCAGATTTGACACTCAAGTGTTGTTGAACTGAGAAGTTGCTAAAGGAACTGTAACAGGACTGATTGTCGCTTACTGCCTTTCTCTCTCTGTCCTTGTTGCCTTTTGCTGTTACATTGCTTGTGTTGTCTTTCTAAGCCCAGATGTTCTCCGATAACTCACACTGCCCTGATTGTGGGCAACAGTGGTTCCCTAGTTTAGAACTAGGGCATTGGTTATACCAAACTGAACTTGTTGAAAATGAATGTTACCAAGTGTTCTTAGACCGTATTAACAGAGCTGATTATTGCCCTGAATGTTATCCTGACAATCCTGCTAACAGAAGCCTTGTTCTGCCTTGGTCTTTCCCTCTTGAGTGGGCACCTCAAAATCTCACCAGGTGGACCTTTGAGAAAGCCTGCCATCCATTTCTTCTGGGTCCTCCACTGGTTAGAAAAAAGATACATGACTCGAGAGTAGCTGGTTTTAATCCTGCATTACAGTTAATCTTGTCCAGAACAGACAAAACCTTAAACAAAAAACTTGGCCAAAGCAAGTGACTTCTGTAACGGAATCATGACGACTCTCCAGGCTTTGTGTTCATAGCCTAGGGGAGATGAAGAGTTAGCTGTTTCTGTATTCTGTCTCTCTTTCTTTATTTCATAATTTCTTTTAAGGTGCTGGGGATTGAATCTGGGTGCCCTCGTGCATGCTAGGCTAGTACGCTTCCCCTGAGTTTAACCTGAGGCCCCCTTTCTGAATCTGACTCAGCCTGTCACTCCTTTGTCAATTGCTTAACTTGTGGGTCTACTTCTGTGATCTGTGACCTATGCATTTTATTCTCTCTCTGTTTCTCTTTTTATAGCATAAACTTAGTCCGTATTGCAGACTATTTACCTGGAGTCAAACTAACCTATAGTCCAGACAAATGCTTTAGAACTATATTGCCCTTCCTAAGTATTAATGAAATTAATGTCTGGAGGGGAGGCCCCATGCTGTATGCCTCATTAACTGTTTTTCTAACAGTAACTTTTATGAAAACACATTCTTGTAGCTGGATTCTAGATTATTCTAGTAAATTTTAATACACTACATTGTTCTAAATTTTTCCTTTTATACATTGGTCAGTAGTGAGAGAGATGTGTGTGTATATATAAAATTTTTTCATATATCTATATATAAAACCATTTTATCCTCAGCGTAAGTGTTACAGTATTGATAACTGGTCCTTCACAGTCTATTTGTCAATACCTACGTAGGTTACAGAAAAAGGGTTGAGAATGTTACCAGTTTACACTTAGTTGTCTCTATATAACCAAAGACTACCGTCTTGTGGTGACTGAATCTACGTCCTCCCATGGAAGTGGAAAAATAACCTGTGCTGTGAAGTGTATAACAATGATAAAACTTGACTCCATACAGTTTAAGAGTAGTCTAGTGGATGCTTTTTCTTAGACATGAGAATGTGCGCTGAGCATTGGCCACATTCTGGGCTTCTCCTGTTCATGGAAATCATGGAATCAGATTTGGAGTTAAGCAACTTAGAAGAAGCTCCTGGGAACATCTAAGAAGCCACTGAACAATTTTAAAATCCTACTTAAGATTCTAGGTGATCCAGTGCTTCAGTTGCAGCGGAAATGTTATCAAGGACCTGGGTTCTTCTCTTTCCTCCCCTGGGGTTCTTATGGTTGCCTTGTGTTCTCATAGTTGTTTTTAAATGGGTTCAGTATGGTTTGTTGTGCCAGACAGCAGGGGCACATGTCTTTCTTACAAGTCTTAATTTGGAAATAAAATCTTTCTGAAATGTCTCAGCAGATTTTTCTTTTTTAAAAAAATATCTCATTATCAGGTACTGGTTTACACACTAGTCTGAAAAGAACTTGGCTGAGGATTGGCCTTGTCCTGAAACTGCACACTGCCTCCACTGATCAAACTGATCTTTTAAGGGGAGATGTGGAAAAGCGAATAGGTGATGATATGCAACAAATCTTGCTTTCCACATGTTGTGAAACCTGCCTTTGTTTGTCTCTAAAGATTGTATTCTAGTGAGCCACTCTTGTGTGTCTGCCCGTGTCCATCATGGGGGAGGTCTCTCCTGGTCAGGCATTAACTTGCAGTGAGGCACTCCCTCACTGTTGATCCTCAAGCTCTTCCCAAGACATCCTTTGTAGAGGCTCCTATTCCCTCTTCATTTCTTTAGTTAAGAATACCTATGCCCCAAAGACGTGTGCTAAGATTCTATGTGTCTGAGATTTAAACATTAGCAAAATAGAAACAAAATTTTTGTTTTAACCAACTTTTGAACTAGTAGTATAAACATGAAGAATTTATACCATTGAATTTTCATATCAAGGAGTAACTGGAAATACTTTCAAATTAAAATTTTCTCAGTGTGTAAGCTACTGTGAATAGTCTATGGACCATACATTGAGACCTGCACCAGTACATTTGCTTAGAAGGGGAGCCTGGCTCTAACTTTGCTTAGAAGGGGAGCCTGGCTCTAACTGTCTGCCCTTCTTCTGGAGAGGCAGTTTCTGTCTCTCTCTCTTCTCCTCCCCCACTTCTCACTTTCTCCCCTTCCCCCCCTTCATAACCTACTAAATAAACTCTATACCACAAAAAGGATCCTGGCGAGTTCTCAGTACTGCAAGTATAAGTTAAGCCACCAGCAACTCTGGGTGGGAACATTGGGCCAGAGAAAGGACTCTAGTCACTTTGCCTCCACATGTAACTTAAAATACCCAGTGTATAGTAAGCTCCCAGAAATTAATATAATGTAGAAGAGCTAAAACTAGACAGAGAAGGAAATTTTGGAAGTCTTGTAGCTTAGGTTTTTGTAATATTTTTTAAAATATTTTTAAAATGTTATAAATTAGGACATTTATAGTAAATATAATGAATTTTACTAAAATACTGATTAATTTGACTAAATTCTAATGATTAAAATCAAAATGATCTCAGTTTGTGCATGCTAGTCTTTTTGTAGTGTGGAAGAGTTGATTAAAGTATACATAATGATAACATTTTTAAACTGACCATCATAACTTCCCATAATTTTCTGGCAGATTTGGGAATATAAGTATTGGGGTGGACTGGAAGAAAAATACAGTCACCTCTTAAGGGGAGGTGGGTGAATGAGGTTATAGTCTCCAAGTTCCAGGGAGGAGAACCTCAGCCAAACAAATAATCTAAGTCTGGCATGCAAAGAGCATGGCAGTCTGCACGCCATGGCCACTCTTAAGTCTCTGGTCTCCTTCTTGAAAGCTGCTTTTTGAGACAGGATCATACCAGTTTGGGGACCAGTCTGGCCTCCAAACTCAGAGATCTGCCTGCCTGTGTCTCTAGAGCTGGGATTACAGGCATGTACCGCCAAGTCCATCAAAACTGCTTTTTATGAGGGAAAAATAATAGCTTTTCAGCTTCTGGGTTTATATTCTACTTCTGCTAAATGGCCTTGGGCTAGTTTCTTCCCGTGGGAGCGTGATAGGACCTGCGGCATACTGTTACCTGCTTAACCAAGCACATGACAAAAAATATTTAGGACAATGAAGCAGAACTAGAGAAAAGAACAAAATCGTAGTAACAAGTAGAACCAGTGAGGACTTGATGCTTGAATTATCAAAACCTTAAATCTGATTGATCTTGGGACATCATGAGCAGGAGTTGTGAGTCACATGGTCTCGGGTTTGAAGATTGAGAGGCCAGGGGGACAAATGACCCAAGGTGGATCTAAAGTCTTTTGTATCTTAACTGGTAGATAACAGGATGATTTCATTTACGTCAGTGTTACCAGAGACTTTCTATAGCATTGAAATGGGTATTTTGAAAAATGTTATGGATCTGAGCTAGTCATGATGGTACAAGCCTTTAATCCAGGCAAATTTCTATGCGTTTAAGGCCAGCTTGGTCTACATACATAGCTCCAAGCCGCCAACCACCTTGTCTCAGGGATGGGGAAGTGTTGAACCTGCAGATTTACTCAGACTATATATATACTAGAGTCCCGATTCAAAGCTAGATCCACTGGACCAGCGTCGGACCTTTGCAGTGTTTAAGCCATTTTTAGGGTCTTACTTAAAACACTGTATGTCATAGGCAGGCCACCTCACTTCAGACCCCGGCTTTACCTTTAGTCATGTGTGCTTGAGTGAGGTTCTTGACCCCTATCTTGGTTTGGAAAGTAGTAAGAATGCTAGAAGAGTTTCTACTTTATGCCTCGTTGCAAGGATTTGAGTTTCTAATACTTGTTTGGCTGCCTGGCACCAAGAAGGCACTTTTTAAATGTTAATGGTCACAGTTAGATATGCTGTGTTCTTGGATGGCAAATCATTTATGTCCAAGATACCTGTTCTGTTCTGAGAGCCTAAAATGGGATAGTTTACCAAAAGCGGAATGTTTAAACATGCTGGACCCTACTGTGTGTTTGTCATGATGTCCTTCATGTCCGGAGAGACTGATGGTCCTTTGCTCTATTTACTCTGAACTTTAGTCCCGGCCCTTCCCTTTTGTTCTGTCTTCTCCAGATCTCCATCTTTCCTGTTTTCCCTGGGTCTCGTTGGCCACACCTGAGACTTGCAGGATGCGAAGGATGAGCTAGGTCCTGCTGCCCTGCCAACCCTGAGTTTTCTCCAAACGCAGCTTTTCCTGTCCTGTCTTTCCAGCTTGTTATAAAATGGGCCGGAGGCCACGGTTGAAGCTCCCTGTGTGCTCTTGGTTATCATTATAGGTCCTGATGGGTACTTCCTGTATAGAGACAAATACATTTTGTTACCCTTTTTTTCTTTTCCCTTTTTTCTTGTGGTATGTGTGGGAGTGTGTGCAGCATGTGAGTTTGTGTGTTTGCACTCATGCATGCGGCTGTGGGGGCTAGCAGAGAGCACCAGTTGTTTTCCTCTGTCAGGCTGACCAGCATTCTTCCCAGATCCACCAAACCTTGAAGATTCGAACTCAGGTCCGCGGGTCTGTACAGCATATGTTCTTGCCTGGTACAGCACCTCCCTGACCCATTATTTGTTTTTTGGTTGGTTGTTGGCTTTTTTTTTTGTTTCTTGTTTGTTTTGGTTTTTCGAGACAGGGCTTCTCTGTATAGTCTGGCTGTCCTGAAACTTGCTCTGTAGACCAGGCTGATCTCAAACTCAGAGGTCCACCTTCCTCTGCCTGCTGAGTGCTGGGATTAAAGGCGTGTGCCACCACTGCCTGGCCCATTATTCATTTTTTGAAAGTTACCTATTATCTTAAACACAGAGAAGACTGTTGGACATAACAAATATTTGCACCATGATATAAAAGACATTGACATTTTGCCACACTGACCAGAAAAATGTAAGCTACCCTTTAGTCTCCATGAGTGGAAAATAAATCCTAGAACTTTGACCAGTTCTGAGCCCTAGAGAAGACAAAGCAGAAAATGAGTTACTATGGGACACTGAAAACCAACATTTCACAGTTGAACTTGCAAGAGATTCACTAAAAGTAAATGTGTCATTTGAGACACATTCCTATGCTTTATGGGAAAGATAACCATCAAATACCTTTTTAAAAACAGCTAAGGATCAGTTTTTCTGGTTACAGAAGTCTTTAGCAATACATTTTTCATCACTGTGAGGCATGGCCTCACTTTTGTTTTTTTGACAAGGTCTGTCGAGTAGCTCAGGCTGGTCCGGAACTTGCCATATCACAAGGTGATCTCAAACTCACGGTCCTCCTAGCCCCGCCTTCCAATTGCTGGGATTACAGGCTCACCCGGCTTGTGTCCTTTCCTTGTAAGGTTCCAAATAAAGTCTCTTCCTAATATGGATTAGTGACTGCTCAAAAGATTTGCCTGGTTCTAAAACAGCGGCCTCCAGATGGCTCAGATACCAGACCATGTGACTGTGAGTTGAGGTAAAAACATGTTTGTCCCCTGGTTCTGAGGGAATGCTGCTTCAACCCTGTACAGAGGTGAAGGCTTCCAAAGGGTTTGAGAGCAGCTGCTGGGTTGACTGACGTGTGCTGGCGGGCGGAGAAGTATATGTTGAGCGTCTGGGGAGGCCGCTGTGGTGGTTCCTTTGCCATTGCTTTGTACTACACTGTAGCTAGATGAAACATTTTAGGACATTTTATTTGTCATAACGTTAAGAATAAAAGGCACACAGTTAAGTACTCAGGCTTACAACATGGTCACTCCTGTTTCCCTCAGGCTGTTTTCCAGTCCGTCTGTCCGTCTTCCTCCAGCAACCATGAGCTGGTTTTTCTTTCACTGTAGATTTTAATCATTTGCCTAATGTAGAATTTCCTGTAAAGAGGATCATTTGACATGTTTTTGCTATAAGTTTTTAATGTGTTGATAATTAAATCCAGGGCCTTGCACATGCTATACAAGTCTACCACTGAGCTGTACCTACATCCTTAACAAATATTCTTTTTGTTTTTTTCATTTATCAATAATATACTAGAAAACTCTCCTGTCTGTTATAGACTGGGTGTGGTAGCAGATGCCTCTGATCCCAGTACTCAGGAGGATTGCTGCAAGGTTAGGACTAGCTTGGGCTATATAGCAAGTTCTAGGCCTGCTAGGCCTCTGTAGAGACACTCTCTCTCAAACAACAACCAAGGAGGGAGATATGCTGAGGGCTAGGGATGTAGCTCAGTGGTAGAAATACTTGCTCAGCATGTATGAGACCCTATGCTCACACACACACACACACACACACACACACACACACACACACGCTGAAGTGTCTAAGAGCTTGGAGAAAGAAAGCAGAGAAGGCATTCCCAAACATTCAGAGCAGCAGAGAGAGGGACCTGTTCCTAGGTGTCCATTCTCTCCAGTTGTAGACCACATGCATTCATTTTCTTAAAGAATGTTTCCCGTGTATGTGTTTGTGCCCCATTACGTCATGCACTGTGTACGCGGAGGTTGCAGTTGGAGGGTAACCCATGGAAGGAGGTTTTCTCTTACTACATGTGCCATTCGATCTTAGGTTGTCTGTTCTGTTTTGTATTTTATTTACAGTGTTGGGGATTAAACCTTGGGTCTTGTGTCTATCCCTAGATCTTGGTTATCAAGTTTTGGAGGCGAATGTTTTGGCCTGCCCAAACTGTCTCACCCGTCATAAAATTTTAGATATGCTTTTGAAGCACTATATAGGGTTTTATTGCACACTGGGCACTCCAATAGGTGGTTGAGTTGGAATGTTATTAGCTGAGAGTACTGTGGAAACATGCCGAGAAGCTACCTTTGCTGTGCATCTCATGGGCTGTCAGAAGTGTGACCCTTACTAGGCTCTAATGGAAGTTAAGTAACTTACCGAACAAATTATATTCAACAGTAAAACTGAACTTTACGGTGAATTGACTTACACGGCCTAAAACTGGCTCCTGACTCTGTTCCTTTTGAGGAAGGTTTGTACTTGTCTTCTCTGAACACCACAGGGACATGGGGTGAGCGGTTCTGTGTCTCCATAAAATGGCAGATGTGCGCTTGCTGCGGCTGCGGGCAGTTTGTAGCTTGCAGGCAGCACCTGAGCACTTACCCTAAGCGAGCACTTCTGATCTGAATGACGCCAGAGAAAAACATGGGCCGGAGACCGCCAGCACGAGAAATTCAGGGACTGCCTCTGGCTCTGTAGCTGTTTGTAGAAGGATTTTGTGCTTTAATTCAAAGTATTCTCTTTAAGATTCTGGTCCCTTGGTCCCTTTCTACACTCTTGGAACTATATGAGAGCGTTTTAGAAAGTGGTGGCATCTGTAAGAGATTCCTAGTCTGCAGAGTTTTCCTCTCTGCAGTCTGGGGTTGGGGTATGATGTTTCCGAAAGCCAGAAAGCAACACAAGACCAAAGAGACTTTATTCAGAGTTGAAATTGCTGTTTTGCGTTTGAATAGATGAAGTCATTTAACTGTTCATTTGTTTTTCATTTTATTTTAGTCCCTGTATATATTCCTTGGTTCTTGCTTCCTTGGGAAGCATGAGTCTGTTGGAACTTGGGACAAGAAGAAAACAAGCTATCTCTACAACAAAACCCAGACACTAAAAAGAGGTCCCAAACTCTGGAGAGCCAGGACACAAACATGGCCGACAGTGGCTGCAGGGACCCTGTGGAAGGTGAGACTAGTCCTCATAGCACAAAGTACGAGCAGTAGGAAACGGGGGCTGTGCTGAGAATGTCTCCAATGACCAAGACCTCAAGTTCTGAAGTAGAAAGTTATAATTCAGTGGGTTAGTTTCTTACCTTTTTTATATTTACTGATTTTTACGTAATATCAAATCTAATTATAACATAAGAAAGATAAATGTAGATCCCAGTAAGGGGGATGTTTTTAAAACAAAATGCTATGCATCTTTTAAAAAGATGGTAGACTCATCTTTAGAATTCTATTTATTAAAAAAACCTGTGATTTGTAGGGGTTCTTTCAAAAAGTAAAGTCTTCATCCTGCTTCTGTGTGTCTGTGTGGCACAGAATACATAAGTGTGAAATAGCTTCTCCATGAGAAAGAGGTCATGAGCTTTTTTATTGTTATATGTGCATGAGTGCAGGTGAGGTCAGAGGACAGTTCAGGAGCTGCTCCCTACCATACAAGTCTCAGGGGTGAAACCTGAGTTGTGTGTGTGTGTGTGTGTGTGTGTGTGTGTGTGTGTGTAATTGTAGACCTTGCTAGAATACAAAACTGTGGGTGAAATATTTAAAATAAACATTTTTTTATCTCACTAGACTCTCAAAAGGATTCGGAAAACGAACCCTCAGTTCACTCTCAAGCACAGGGCACCACAGTCTCTCCGAGTGACCCTGAAGAAACCCAGACCCCACCTTCTGCCTCTGATCTCAAGAGCGACCCTCATGAGGTAGGGGTCAAAGGTCAAGAGCATGCAGACACAGATGACAGATCAGAGAGTTCAGAGGAGACGACTTCAGACAAGCGTCCGATGGATAAAGCAGAACCCAAGAGCAGCCCGAGCTCTCAGGACACAGAGCAGGGACACCGCCCCCCCTCGGAACACCTGGGTGGAGAGGCCCTGCATCTGGATCCTCACTGCTCTCAAAGCAGCGAGGGGGGAAGAGGAGACGCCCAGCTGGGGAGCAGTTCTGCAGCTGCCCCCAAGGGAGCAGGAGATGGAAGGGAAGCTGCTCAGGAGCCACTTACTGCAGACTCCACCGATGCCCAGAGTTCTGCTTATCCCAGTGCAGGCCCAGGGAGCCAGGACCACCTGAGGAGGCGGCTGCCTGTGCCAGGTGAGAGATCCTCTGAGCTGCCTGTGTTTCCCTGGGACGGTGGAGGACCTGGAGTGAGGTTTCCAGCCTCCTACACCAGCTCAGTCACTGTATTTACTTGCTGCCTGTACCTCTTCTATGAACGCACTTTCACGTCAAGTCCTTTTTGTGCGATATTCCTGTAGCTCTGTGACTTTCCATTACTTAGTATTTTTTTCTGATGTAGCCATTATTTTTCTTCTGAGCATTCTATTTTAGGTATGTTTTTCATGAATTACATATAGTTGTGTTTTTTAAATCCAGGATAATGTGTTTACCTTTTTAGCTGGACCTTTAATTAATTTAATAATATAATAAATATCAAATTTATTTATTTATTTATTTTGTTTTTTCGGGACAGGGTTTCTCTGTAGCTTTGGGGCCTGTCCTGGAGTCCTGGAACTAGCTCTTGTAGACCAGGCTGGTCTCGAACTCACAGAGATCCACCTGCTGGGATTAAAGGCGTGTGCCACCACCGCCCAGCTTCCTGACACACTTTCTGATAGCAGAATTTGACTGCTTGGCTTCAACTTCTACTTTTTCCACTGAGATATCTTGATAGCCCACAAATTGCCTTTTTTAGATGTTTTGCCTGCAAGTATGTCTGTGTATCATGTGCATGACAGGTACTCAAGGCAGTCAGGAATGGATGTCAGTTCCCCTGAACCTGGAATTAGAGATGGTGTGCACCACCATGCAGATATTGGGAATTGAACGTTGGTCCTCTGGAAGAGCAGCAAGTGTTCTTAATCACGGAGCCATTTCTCCAGCCCCACCAACTGCATTTTAAAATATTTTTATTTGCTGTTTATATTAATGCAATATAATAAAAAAGGAACACAACTTAAGAAACCTTACTTTTATTTCTTTTCTTTGTTTTCTTTTTTTTTTTTTTACCACTAGACCACCAGGGATTACTTTTATTTCTTATGACTCTATTTAATTTATTTTCAATTGAAAATTTTCAATTTTCTTGTCCTTTGTAAAACAAAATATCATGTAAATCAACAGGCAAATGTGTATAAATCAACACGAATACACACATGTTGATGCTTGGTTGGTCTTTGTTGTTGCTCTTGTTTTGAGATGGTATCCCATTCTATAGCCCAAGCTGACCTCAGACTCATAGTGATCCTCCTGCCTCAGCCTTTTGAGATCCAGGATTGCAGCATGCACAGCCTACTCACCGAAGAGACCAGTCTGAAATGCCCACATTCTAGTAGTATTCATCAAGGACTTGGTGGTTTTAGTGCAGATCCCCATACCTAGTACATCTCATGCATTCCCATCAGAATATCTGGACCGAAGCACTTAGCTCATGTCTTTCTTTGTGTTTCTCTGGCATCCAACACATAAGTACAACTTTATGAATAGTTTTTGATTGAGAAAATGAATGAATGAATGAATGAATGAACGAACAAATGATGAATGCAGTTGGTTGGACCATTATCTACAATTACAATTTCACCATTGTAGAGGTTCACTGTGGGTAGGGAAATAAAACTGTGGTTTGAATGTAGCGTGTGTGTTGGCGGAGGGGAGATCTAATTGGCAATTTTGGCTTCATAAAAGGAAAAATTGCAAAGTATAGGAATCCCGTCATGTAATTGGCCTAGAGATAAAAGACACTACCCGCTTTTATGGTGTACCGTCTACAAACAACATTCCTTCTCACCCTAGAGGATGGAAGTCCTGAAGAAGAGACACAGTCAGTGAGGAAAAAGGAAGAGGCTGCACAGGAAAGACTGAGGAAGACGGACAGCAGGAGTCTCTGGAGCTATGGTGAGAACAAACCTAATTCTGCTACATTCACAGATCCTCACACAGAGAAAATGCCCAGGAAGCTCTTTGATTTCATTTTCACTTTAATTATATATATGTTCGGTAAAGTCAATAAAATAAAACAATAAAGTTGTAAAGTTTTTCCTCCAGGGCTACTGTTTGATATTTTGTTTAACAAATAGAAATTCTCACAGTTAAAAAACCTGCTGCTCCTCCCTGACCCCTAATGGGGGACTGAATTAGGGCCTTGTGCATGCTCGCCAAACACCGAACGACTGTGCTACCTCGCTAGTGGCTGAAACCCACTATCTAGAAGACAAGAAACTGAAGCTGCCTTTTGCTTTGTTTTGCTTTGTTGAGGCAGGGCTTTGCCAGGTTGTCCTGACTCGGGTTCGCGCAGCCCAGGACTCTTCAGACACATGGTGGTATTTCTGCCTCAGCCTCCAGAAACTGCCTCTCCAGTCAAAGGCTGCTGCTGTCTCAGATTGCACACTCAAAATTGTTTGCTTTCCCTTTTGAGACAGAGTCTCCGTGTGTAGGGCAGGCATCACAGTCCATCCTCCCAGGTGCCGAGATGTGGTGTGCCACCCTGCCATGGTCATTTGGGGCTGTAGAATGCTCTGCTCTGGCCAGTGTGGACTTTAGAGAGTGGGAGAAAGTTCTCAGGACTGCCTTTCAAAGGCTTCCTTGACGGCAGCAAAGTATATGAATGACTTTGACATGGATGGTGTATCTTCAAGAGATTAAAGAAGGTATTTCCGTCAGACTTTGTGTTTTATTTCTTTCTGTGTAGACCATACTAGCCTCAAATTCATGACGATCCTCCTGCCTCAGCTTCCGTTAGACATTAAGTGTGAAAATGTAGGAGAGTCAGGCAAAGGGAACTTAGCATTGCCTGAAGATTTGATAGAGGCCGTGTCTCATTTCTGCTCACACGAGCGCTGTTTCTACTCACGTTCTCGTCTTCTGTTTTCTTCTCATCGATCAGGTCCTATGTTTCTCTGCCTCCTGATTGTGGCTCTTGTGCTACATTCTGTCAACAGCTACTATTTCTCTCCGGCCCAGCAAGTGCCCCAGAACCCAGCTTTGGAGGCTTTCCTGGCTCAGTTTAGCCAGCTGAAAGATAAATTTCCAGGTCAGAGTTCCTTTCTGTGGCAGCGAGGACGGAAGTTTCTCCAGAAGCACCTCAACGCTTCAAACCCTACTGAGCCTGCCACCGTCATCTTTACAGCTGCTCGAGAGGGACGGGAGACCCTCAAGTGTCTGAGCCACCATGTTGCCAACGCCTACACCTCTTCCCAGAAAGTGTCCGCTGTCTCCATAGATGGAGCTGAAAGAGCCCTGCAGGACAGTGACACCATCAAGCTGTGGGTTGACTTGGAGCTTAGTAATGGATTTGAGAATGGCCATAAGGCTGCTGTCGTCCACCGCTTCGAATCCCTTCCTGCAGGCTCCACCCTGATCTTCTATAAGTACTGTGACCATGAGAATGCGGCTTTTAAAGACGTGGCCCTCGTCCTGACCGTCCTGCTGGAGGAGGAGACATTAGCAGCAAGCGTAGGCCCCAGGGAAACGGAAGAGAAAGTGAGGGATTTACTCTGGGCTAAGTTCACCAACTCTGAAGCTCCCAGCTCCTTCAGCCACATGGACTCAGACAAACTGAGTGGGCTGTGGAGTCGCATTTCCCACCTGGTGCTGCCCGTCCAGCCCGTCAAGAACATAGAAGAGCAAGGCTGCCTTTTGTGAAGCCAGGCCCAGCCCAGCTCCAGTCCCCTGGGGGGAGGTGGTTAGTTAGCATGTGACAGGAAACAGCAGAGAAAAGGAGCTTTTCTTTTTTTTTCTTTTTACTTTTATGAAAATTTTCTAGTCTAAACTTTGATAAAGCCAACAATTGGCCTGATGGTGTGTTTTCTTTGCCTTTTTAAGCAAATCAGGCCTAAAATACAACATGAATCATAACACTGAGGGATTGTTTAAATCTCCGTGGGCAGAATCACTGCATAGGAAGATCTGATTTTCAGAGGAACCGTAGCATGACCGCTGCCTTGGGAGGACTCCAAAGGGCCTCGGACTTGTAATTCCAATGATTTCAGGGAACTCTTCTGCCTCTTACTAAGTATTTTTAAGGTTTACTTTAATAATTTAGTTGTGGGGTTGTATCTTACACAGATTTGCACTTTGAATAGATGAAAACAGGAAGCTAAAATTACCCTCCAAATCCTACCTAAAAATTTGGTGCATGTCTCCTTTTATTCCATCAATGAGCTGAGGGAAAGACGGCTTTGGTAAAAGAAAGTGTTCCTGAGTTGGAATCAATGTAGTAATTGGTAGGAATCCCTGGAGGTGAGGAAATCCCAACTGGCTGTATCGTTTCTCTGTGCCCACCAGCAGCCCCTTGCTTCATATCTCCGCTCTTGGCTGCTGTATTTGGGGTTCTCTGTTAAGACTTCAGTGGAACTCAGTTTCACTGAGAAGGAAGTTTGAAAACCATTGATGAAGTGAAAAGCATATTCTAAAGATACAAACTTGGGTAGGAAGAGATGAAAGCGGTAGAGCTTAGGAGTCGGGAGATGAAGTGAGGTTGGTTGTAGAGGGTGGTAGAGACCTACAGAAGGCCTACTATACTATAGGCTGTAGAGACATGGCCTCTGGCTGGTTCATTCTGTTCATTGCTTCTGCTGCCGAGGGCTGGAATGTCGCAACTGTCTGTGATGAGCGTTGAGTGTATAACTTTACCAAATGGGATTTGCTGTGCTCTGGTGGGACGTCACATTCGTTTCTTGACAACTAGTTAGAAATGGCATTAGGGAAGGAATTGGAGAAATGCAAGAGGATGTTCTACATAGGGAAGAGAAAGAGAGAGAGTGTGGCCAACAGCACATCCTGTGGTCCTGTGACTGTTCGCCTGGGGCCAATAGCTGCTGACCTGCACACAAAGGCTAAAGTAAAACTCTAGTAAGATAACCCCATCCACAAAGGTCTGTTCCATTACGTGGATGGGAACAGCCCTGGAATTTTGCACTAGGTTTTGGCTCATCTGCTGCTGTGAGATCATGTATATAATTAAGAAGTTAACTTACTGAGTGTGGAGGGAGTTTAGGGAACACTAAGATGTCTATCGATAATTAAAGGATCACAAAGACCTGGGGTAGGGAGTGAGCTGAAAGTGTTTGCCACAGAAAGATCCCAGACTGGCTTTGGGCGGAGCCTTTGCCGGACTAGGGTGGAGGAATACAGGAAGAAACTGTGCCTTTGCTTTGAGATTCTGAAGGACTCTTGCAATAGATTTGAGAAAAGACCTAAACCCAAAGTTTAAGCATAGTGAATAGAATTTGAGTGTCGACCCAGTGTAGAACAGAGGGACTGGAAAAAAAATCTGTGTGACATCATTTGTTTTTTTCTGTATTTCTAGACTTCTCTTTGTTTTGAATGCTAGTGGCTTGTATAGCCCTGGTTGGCCTGGTCCTCACTCTGTGGCCAAGGGGAACTTTGAAGTTAGAGTAATTTCTCATGCCTCGGTTCCCTGAATGTTGGGGTTATAGGTTTATGCCGCCATACCTGGCTTTAATCTCAGCCCTTATCCAAGTATTACTTCATGGAAAACCAAGGGTGCCTTCAGAACTTCATGTTGGCCTTTGACCTGCGCTACCTCAGGCTGCAGAGGAAGTGGTCTAAAGTGTTTGTACACAGTCTGTGTCCATGGCTCAGATCACAGGTGGAACAAGTTTCTTCATTTGGTTAGAGTATAGCTTTACATAATTTGCTGCCAACATAAATTTAGGATATAATTCATTTCTAAAATTTAATTAATTTTAATTGTTTTTACTGTTGACTTTATTAAAATACTTTTCATTCTATACATTAGTGCAATCAACTGAGACTCGTCAGTTTTTTATCCACTATTTCAAAACCCTTTTTTTATTTAATTTTTTTCAGTACTGGGGATTGAATCCAGGGCTTTGATGTTCAAGAAAAGTGCTCTACCACTAAGCTACATCCCCAGACCTCTTAAAAATTATTTTGAAAAGAGTAATATATTTGTTTAGGCTCAAAACAAAGGATTTTTTGTTTTTGATACAGAGTCCAAACTACATAGCCCAAACTAGTGATTCTCAGGCCTTAGACTTCTAGCTTCTAGAATTATAGAAGTGTGCCACTACACCAGCTTCATGTAATTATTTTTTTAAACAAAAATATATTTTAAAATGTACATATAATTAAAATTTAACCTGAGCTGGGTGGTGGTGGCACACACCTTTAATCCCAGCACTCGGGAGGCAGAGGCAGGTGGATCTCTGTGGGTTCGAGGCCAGCCTGGTCTACAAGAGCTATTCCAAGGCAGGCCTTAAAGCCACAGAGAAACCCTGTTTCAAAAAAAAAAAAAAAAAAAAGAAAGAAAAGAAAAGAAAAAAGGAAAAAAAATCTGATGTACTGCCTTCTAGTGCATTGTTCGTCACATTTTTCTTATTTGTGATAATTTGCTTGCCTTAGAAAAATTATTTGCAGCTACATGACAGAAAACGTCATGTTTGAACGTCACAGTTTAATACCACCATACATACATATTCACACACATTATTTGTTTTGGTGCGGGAGAATTGTCTGTATTCTGTCAATCATGTTATAAATAAATGCTGATTGGCCAGGCAGGAAATACAGGTGGGAAAAACAGACAGGAAGCAAAAATGATGTAAGGAGAACAGGAGAATTCTGGGAAGGAGGAAGCTGATTCCTCCCACTCCTGCCCAGACCACCAAAGCAACAGGATGTGATCTACCCCACTGAAAAAAGGTACTGAGCCACATGGCTAACGTAGATCAGAAAAATGGGTTATCAAGATGTGAGAGTTAGCCAGTGAGAGGCTAGAGCTAATGGGCCAATCAGTTTATAATTTATGGAGACCTATGTGTGATTTTCTCTGGGACTAAACAATTGAGGGGGACCTGGTGGGAGGACAAAAACCCCAACAACAAACAAGCCAGGCCTGTCCATGTTACATTGTTTGTTTAATGGGAATCCTTTCTTGAGTAATACCAAGAAGCAAGCAGGGTGAGAATTAGAAACTGTTTGGACTTGGATTTTTCCTTTTCAGGTAAAAAAAAAAGCTTTCAGAGATTAACAAAGAAGTTCTAGAGAGTTGTTTCCACTGAAATAATTTTAGTAAATTTTACCTGGAAGCCCTCAGGTGTAGGGTAGTGAGGCTCGGCCTGTTGCCCAAGAGCTGGCTGATGAGAGAGCATCGTCTCACAGCCTTTGGTTTGTGCTTAGCCTTGTCAGCTCTGCTGTTAGGCTGTGACCGACAGATGTGGCCTGCAAAAGTGAGGATATAGCAGCAAGATGACTTCACCAGCACTCTTACTTCTGTCTACCAAGATTTCCTAACTGCCAATTTTGCCTCTGCATTTGCCAATTTAATGGATTTGACAGTATTGATGTCAGACTTGCTCGTGCCTCCATGACTGCTTTTTGCATATGTTTCCATATTGATGATGTTGGTTGTGCCTTATTCAATTTTTGTTGGTACACAAATAAATCTCCTTAATTTTTCCTACTTGACTTCTTTTTGACTAAAATTTCCAAAATACAAGAGTTACAGAAATGGGCGTTGTGGCCGTTAATGGTGGGAAGGGTCAGGAGTCTCCTGGAAGCATCAGGTGGTGTTGGTGGCCGACAGTGAAGAGGTGCAGGGTGCCTGAACACTTGTGGTGATTGTGTAGCCATCTGTTCCCACTGTACGTGGCTCTCTCTTGACTAGGGGAAGAGTGATGTAGGAAACACAGCCTTGGGAGTTGTTCCGAACATGGGGTGTGCCAACTGGGATGTATTCAATTTGTGCCTGAGTTGAACATCTTGTATGCTGGAAGTAGGGAGGTAGTGTTAAACTTAGGGGCCAGGAAGACGGTTTCGTAAAGCGCCCGCTGCACAGCGTGATGACTGGAGTTTGAATCCCAGCACACACAGGACAAGTTGGGCTTCTTGCAAGTAATGGAATCTTGACACCCAGGGAAGGATCTGACACCAGGCATACACTAAGATCCGCACACATGCAAATAAATAAATCTAAAACAGCAACTGCATGGCAGCACGCATCTGTAGATCCAGTTCTTAGGAAGGTGGGAACTTCTGGGACTCACTGACCAACTAGCCCAGCTGAACCTGTAAATTCTAGATTGAATGAAAGACCCTCTCAAAAAAGGTGGGGTGCAGTTGAGGAAGACATTTGACATCGATCTCTGATACACACACACACACACACACACACACACACACCAGCCCCAGTGGTAGCTCAGCTGGTAAAATGCTTTCCCTGGAAGCACAGTGACCTGAGCTCACTCTCCACAGCACCTGTTTAAAAGGAGGCTGGGTGTAGTGGCACAGGCTGGTTAGCCCAGCACTGGGAAAGCAAGAGAACAACAGATCCCTGGGACTCTAGGGCCAGCCAGTCTAGTCCACTTGTCACACACCAGGCCTGTCTCAAATAACAAGATGGGCTGTACCTGAGGAAGGACACATGCACACAGCAGAAAAAAGGAAAAATTCACTCTGAGAATATTGCCAAACCAGAATGAATAGAAGCCCTGGATTCCCTGCTTCTGGTCCTCCCTGCTCTTCCTCTGGTGGTGTTGGGCCCTCCTATCGACCCTCAGCTCAGACCAAGGTGTTTCTTCACCAATTTCCTATTTGATTCTTGCAGTTTAGGAAAACATTTTCAGGGGGTAGCATAACTTAACTTTCAATAACCAGAGTGCAGACGAGCCTGCGCAGAGAATGGGGCTTCTTACATGCAGCCCAAATATTTACAGTGAAGTAGCAGCATGGGGGTGGTTTTGTTTTTTAGCTGCTTAAGTTGAAAGGCTAGAAATGTACTCCCAAACACAAACTGGGTAGTAGTCGAATTCTTAGGCAATATATTCAAAGTTGAGACAATTAAAAACTTTAAAACAAAACAAAATTAAGCCCTTCTACTGAGATAGCCCTGGTGGAGGCATGAACTATCAGGAGCTCCAGAGATGGCTCAGGGGTTAAGACCGCTTTCTGCTCTTGTAGAGGATGGGATTGCAGGTGGACACCTTTGTGCCATGCTGGCTTGTTTGTTTCTGTTTTTGTCAATTTACATTCCAAAAGATGTTTCCAAGTAAACTGATATGAAAACCATCCCTGAAAAGTGGGAGTGTGTGCTGAGTCAAATTCCTAGCAACCATATTTGGTAGCTCAGTCATCCAACTCCAGTTCTAGGGGACAAACATACACATAAATAAAAATGTTGAAAAATAGACGAGCTGTCAATATAATAATACTATGAGATTATTTCCTGAGATGTCCTGAGTTTCGAGTTTTCATTTGGGTTGATAATTAATCTACAAAAAACAAAAACAGATAAGCTAGGGACTGGAGAGATGGCTTGGGGTTTAGGAGCACTTGCTGATCTTGAGGAGGACACAGGTTTGGTTCCCAGCATCCACATGGTTAGCCTTCCACTCTTCCAGTCTAGGAACCATAAGAAGGGTTTCTGGGGCAGAGATTTCTGGCGAGAAGACCATGGTGGCAGTGAGAAGGAAAGTGGTGGTATCTGGACATTAGTGGATGGCTTTTCCCTGGAGACCCCTAAGTTCTGGCCTGCCTGAGCCATCTCATCCACCCCATAGCTCGGGACCTCAGTGTGCCCACAGACTAGGAAGGAGGTCCTATCCCACTACTGTCTGGCAAACAGCCTTGCACTTCCAGCTTGTGTTCTGGGCCTTTCTGTCCTCTATCCGTATCTGAGTCTGTCCACTGTTAACCCCAACTCCGTTTTCATCTTCAGTAAGCTGCCTGCTCAGGTCTCCCTGCTCTGTCCATCTGGGTAGGCTGTAGAACTGTCTTCACTGAAGCCAGATTTCACGTGGGGAGTGGAGAATGACACCTGCCACTCTGCCTTCTGGGGCTGTAGAGCCAGCCCCATTCTGCTGGGACAGAGAGAGAGAGAGCCTAGTTTAAAACATGAAAGTAGATCTAAAATGGTAATTCTAACACTAATGTCTTAAGAGTTTTGGGAGCCAGAGTCGCTTTGGAAGAATCGTGGTGATGATCCCTCAAAATATTGACCTGTGTCATGGCACCCTATGTACACTTCAGAATGGTCCAAAATACACATTTGGGGTGATTTTTCTTTTGCCACCACAAGTAATATTTTTTAATTCATACAGTACAGACCCGTGTTGTCTGATACCTGGTTTTCCAGCCAGGTCTTCTGCCCTTGGTCTTGTGAGCAAGAAAACTGTCTCTCTTCCTGCTTAGAGGTATCAGAGAGCCTTACTTCCTGTTTAGAGGTATCAGAGAGCCTTACTTCCTGTTTAGAGGTATCAGAGAGCCTTCGTGCTCCAACTCCAGATCCAGAGCCGTGAGCACCGCAGCTTTTCCAACACCACTGATGTGCCCACGGGGCCTTGCTTGGCTCACGCCACACATCTTTCCCTCGTGAGTCTATATCAGATGACCCAGCACGCATTCCCACTTTGCAGGGATGGTTTTCATATAAGTTTACTTGGAAAAATCTTTTGGAATGTAAATTGACAAAAGAAAAAAAAAAACAGGACTTGAAGGTGTAGGCTTGCTATCCTAGTGCGGGAGCTAAGGCAAGGGTCAGGAGTTCAAGGTTGTGTTTAGCTACAAGGGTTGTTTGTTTGTGTCTGGGGGATAGTCTAAGTAGCTCTGACTGTTCCAGAACTTGTATATATAGACCAAGCTGGCCTCTACCTCACAGAGAACCAACTGCCTTTGCCTCCTGAGTGTTGGATTAAAGGTGTGTACCATCCAGCCTGGCCACCTGGGCTACATGTGATCCCTGACTCAAAACAACAGCAACAAAATCAAAGTGACATAATAAGGAATAAATTGGAAAGACTTCATTTCTGGCCTTTCCTTATTCTCTCTCTGTAGGTCTCTCTTTCTTTCTCTGTGTGTGTGTGTGTTGTGGGTTAGACATGTGCCCATGTGCACAGAGGTAGGAGGAGGATGGCTAGCCTGCTCTGTCATTCTCCCTCAGCTCCTTCTAGCTCTGCCCTGTCAGTGCTAAGGTTGCAGGCACATGTTCAGCCACATCAGGCTTTTTGTTGTTGTTGTTGTTGTTTTTTGTTTTTTGTTTTTTTTTTGAGACAGGGTTTCTCCGTGGTTTTGGAGCCTGTCCTGGAACTAGCTCTTGTAGACCAGGCTGGTCTCGAACTCACAGAGATCCGCCTGCCTCTGCCTCCCGAGTGCTGGGGAGGGGGGCGGTGTCTGAGGAGGCAGAAAAGGCATCTGATTGCCTGGAGCTGGAGTTACAGCTGGGAGCCACTGACCTGGGGCTGGGAGCCAAACTTGGGTCCTCCNCTCCGTGGTTTTGGAGCCTGTCCTGGAACTAGCTCTTGTAGACCAGGCTGGTCTCGAACTCACAGAGATCCGCCTGCCTCTGCCTCCCAAGTGCTGATATTAAAGGCGTGCGCCACTACCGCCCGGCTCACATCAGGCTTTTTACATGGGTGTTGGGGATTTGAACCCAGGTACTCATGCTTGCACAACAAGCATTCTTACCCACTGAGCCATCTCTCCAGGCCCTCCACAGAAGACTTATAAAATGATTTATCTTTGTTTTATTTTTGTGTATGAATGCTTTGCCTTCAAGTATATCTGTGTACATGTCCGTGTAGTGCCTACAGAGGCCGGAAGAGACCATCAGATCCCTAAACTGAAGTTACAGACAGTTGTGAACCACCATGTGGGTGCTGAACCACCAGTGTGTGTAACCACTTAACTATCTCTCTAGTCCCTAACAGGAGACTTTTATTTATTTTTTTATTGGTGTGTACAACCTTGAAATTTTTTTATCTCATGTTTTATGTTACAATGTTCATCTATTTTTAACAATTTTTTTTTTGAGACAGGGTTTCTCTGTAGCTTTGGAGCCTGTCCTGCAACTAGCTCTTGTAGACCAGGCTGGCCTCGAACTCACAGAGATCCGCCTGCCTCTGTCTCCTGAGTGCTGGGCTTAAAGGCAATATGCCACCACCGCCTGGCCTTATTTTTAAAAATTCTTAATTTTTTTCCTCTTAGGCTCCTCCCCATTGACTGTTTTCAGTACCCGACTCATTTTCCTCATGAATTGGGCAGAGAAGAAAGGGAGAGGATTCAGGTTAAGGACCAATAGGACCGTGAGATTCTCAATAGCTGAAGGCCTGAGACGTGGATCTTATTAATCATTCTTTTGGTTTGGGGATGGAGTTCAGAGGACTTTAGGAGAAGGTGAGGGTTCTAGTTTAATTTTAAAACATTTATTGACTCTCTCAAGGGGACTGCTCTTTTGTTAGGTTTAGGAGCAAGAATGAAATTCCCAGTAGGTCCAACGCAGAAGCCGTGGGCTGCCCTAATGTGGATGGACAGGAGTGGACAGAGGTTCAGTTTGCGCCAAAGGGCCAGAGCTGGAGCCTGCGGTTTCTCTGCCCCCAGCACAGGCACATGTCATTTTAGGTTCAAACCCAGAAGGGAGGGTGACCCCAGGTACTCAGGGCGACTCAGCCACCTAGCAGCTGGTGCCCATCTTGGGGAGATGGGAACTGTCACACCTATTTGGACTCTGGATGTGGTTGGTGTGTGGAAGATGGGGCCCATGGTGATGAGACAGAGAGGAAGTGTGGTGGCCAAATGTTTCCCTGAGGCCTGAATCAAGTCTCTCTCAGGTCTGGTAAAGGACCCCTTTGGGAGCCGGTACACCCAGGATTGTGAGGGGAGTCTTTCAGAAGGAGACATGACTTCCTCCTTGGTTGCGGCAAGGGTCATGGCAGGATATTCATTCCTTACATTTCTGGAACAGGTCAGGGCTACCCAAAAGAGGAGTTGATGAAAAACTATCCTTCTTAATCAATCATCAGAATTTTTTTTTGTCCTGAATATGTCAGGATATTTCCTGAACAATAATGTCACAGATCTACAGAGGTGTCAGGACTGAAGGGTTGGAATAAACCCTGACCAAGTAACTCTCCGCCCCCCTAAGCCTTAGGGCCTAAGGTTTGTTGAAACTCCTGCCCCTGTGTTGAAACTCCAGGTCTTTCCCCTCACTGCCCTTTCAAACTCAGTCTCCCACTATCACCCCCATCCTGATAGCCTGAAGATAAAGCAGCCTCATCTGGATAAACAACTCCAGGAGGAGAAACTGCAGGTTTGCACATACCCCAGAGGTTGCATTTTAACTTCCCAGTTCCCAAACCTCCTACACAAACCCAGAGTTTCTCCTTCCCCTTTGGCAGACACCTTTCCCCTTTCCTGCGGTGTCTATACCCCCCCACCTATCCCTGCCCCCCCACCTCTCCCTGCCCCCCCCCTCCCGTCACACTGGCCTCTTTTTTTGCCTCCTGTTTCTAAGTTGCCTTGGAAATCTAGCACTTGGCCTGCAGGTTACTGTTCTCAGTGCCTTCCTGCCTTCCCACCTAGTCCTCCCTCCTGAGATGTGGGGCATCGCTTCTCTCACCCCCTTTCTTCTTCCCACTTACACCTGGACAGAGCTGTGGTCTGAGTCTGAGAAAGGTCAAGGATTGTCATGGAAAAAACCAACTGAGCCCAGATGGTTGCTCCACAAGCCTGAGGCCAAACTGCTGAGCAGTTCTTCCTTTCAGGGTGCCCTAGGGTGATGGGGGCCAGGTGCCATAAAAATGTGCTTGAGGCTCTCTGGTTCTCAGAACTGAACCACGTTAGCAGAACAGAAGCCAGATACTCCCTGAGGCAAAACTGCACTTGAGCTGATACTAGAGGAAGGCTCTGGTCTCAGCACTGGAATGCCTTGGCCACCCAGCTGCAGCCCACCCAGTAAGAGTCAGGCCCTGAGGTGGGTGGGGAGAGCTGCTCTTCTAAACCCTTGAGCAACACAGATGCAGACACACTGACTTCATCCCTGACCTTTCGTTGTTATTTTGTTTTTCAAGAGAGTTTTTCTCTGTAGAGCTCACTCTGTAGACCAGGCTACCTTTGAACTCAGATACCTGCCTGTCTCTGCCTCCCGGTGCTGGGACTAAAGGCACGTACCTTGAAACTAAAGGCACGTACCTTGGGACTAAAGGCTCGTACCTCTCCCAGCTTCATCCCTGGCCTTTCCTGTTTGCGTACTAAGCTAGTTATCTGCTCCCTAGCCTCCATTCCTCCTCTCTGGTTTTGTAGTCCCTGCAACTGTCTCCCTTCTCCCCTTCCCATGCCTCCCAGGACTGGTTGTGTAACTGTGAAGTCTTCTGAGAAACAATGATTAGACCCGAAAGTAGAGGGGTGGGGAAACCTCGGGCCTGGAAAGCGTGGGGGGGCATCAGTTGTACTGCTCTCTGGTGAATTCATCATTCTAGCCAAGATACCTGTAAGAACTGTCAAATAAATACTGCAAAACGGACAAGAAATTCACATCTTTTTATCTCCCTCACCAAGTAAGACTTTCTGGTCTTGTCTGTTTTTTTTTTTTTGTTTGTTTGTTTTGTTTTGTTTCTCGAGACAGAATTTCTCTGTGAAACAGTCCTAGCTGTCCTGGAACTCGCTTTGTAGACCAGGCTGGCCTCGAACTCACAGAGATCCGCCTGCCTCTGCCTCCCAAGTGCCAGGTTTTAAAGGCGTGCGCCACCACGGACCAGCCCAGACAAGACTTTTAATCAAAAATTTTAATAACCTTTCCACCCAGCAAAATATTTGTTTCCACAAAGGCCCTGCTGTAGGCTGGGAACTCTATGGCCCTGGAACAGTGACCCCTGACCCCTTGGAGCAATGGCCCCTCCCCTTCCTCCTTCAGTTCCTGTGCGCTAATTCTAGCCAATTGAATGTGACTGCGAGGACTCTAGGCAATGGGGGGAAAATGATCACCCCTTGAGTGAGAATAGAAACCAATCACACTTCCTGTCCGGGTGTGTTCGCTCTCATTGCAGCAAAGTTCGCCGCCTCTGGGCACTTCAGCTATAACTGTGGTCTCTTTCTTTAAAAAGCCCCTTCCCCCAAGAAACAGGAAATCCTCCTTGGTTGTGGATTCTGACTCAGCAAAGAGCCTTGTGCTAAAGTGAGGGCTTTGGAGAGGAACTGACAAGATTTCGGAGTTGAAAATGGTTGTTTTGGGTGTTCAAATGAGCATTCATTTTAAAGCCATATAGGGCTGGCCCTTCTCCCCGGCGGTGGGATGGAAATACCTCTGAGGTTTTTTATTTAAAATTTCTCCTTTATTTTGACATTCACTTGGTTGTGTTCCAAGTTATCAAAGATGCACAACAGGAAATCTGCAGCCGCAGCGGAGTGATGCAGAGAAGGATGGTGGAGAGGACCAGCTATTCCCTGGCTCCTCCTCCTTCTCTTCCTGTTCAGGGTTCCCTTTGAAGTATACAGAGTGTGTCTCATGGGCAGACTCCACAGCTAAAAGGACCGCACGGCTGAGCTGGGTGAGCTTTCCCTTCCCCAGGAATGGAGACCACGATGCTACAGTGAGATGAGGTGGGCAGGTGACCAACAGCCTACGGTGGAGCCTGTGCCTTGAAAGATGTGGGCTTGGATGGTGTGTTCCTCCCCCGCTTTGTCATGTGGGATCCAGACTTGGACTTGTGGGTTAAGCTGAGAGAGCTGCAGGAGACGCGCAAAGGGGGCTTTGTACCCAGAGCCCCCGAGTCCGGAAGTGGGTTACAGTCGGCTGAGTCGGCTGGGTTGTCCTGCTTTACCCACAGGCGTTGGTATGATGGTGGCGCTGCGATTCGGGTTGGAGGAAATGACAGCTGTGAAACCACAGGAGAGCAAGGCACTGGGCTGGTGGTGAGGAAGTGGGGAGAGCTGCTAGGCCCAGCAGCAAGTCAGGGGGTGCCTGGCCCAGGATGGGCAGATGGCGGACTGGTGCACTGGAGCTGCGGAGCCATCTTTGCACCAGGAGACACAGCTCATCAGCCCTGCTGCTGTGCCCTCCTGTGCAGCGCTTGGCGGTTGAGGTTGCTCCATAGAGGGTTGGGCAAACATTTTGTTGTTGTTTTTGAGACAGGGTCCCAGGGAGCCCAGGGTGACCTTGAACTTGCAATATAGCCCAGGATGACTTTGAACAACTACCATCTGTTTTCCTCTACCTCCCGAGTGAAGGAATCAGAGGCAGGTTTTAGTGGCGCTGGAGATTGGAACCGGGCTTCGTGCAGACCTGACAAGAACTCAACCAACTGAGCTATAGCCCTAGCCTGACTTGTTTGCTTTTCACCAACAACTGAAATAATTTCCCCTCCTAATCCCGTGGGCTTTCTCCCACCCCTTTGGTGGTTTCCAGCCCGCATCAAATACTCCTGTACCCAGGATCCATCCAACCCTGGCCAGGATAAGGGCGAGAGGAAAGAGCTGACTAGCAGATCTTTCTACAATATCTTGGATTTGTGGAACAATAAGGGACATTTAGAGTCCATTTTGGCAAGCTTTGCTTCACTGGAGACAAATGGAAGTCTCAGTGAAGTTACCTGACTGGTCCCAGGCCTAACAAGTGAACAAAATATGGGCAGAGATTGTCTTCTGCTTCTTAGCTAAATGTTTGTTATTTACAGTTGGAGATGTGAGGTGCAGCCTACTCTGTCAAATCAATCAACCGAAGCAACCAACCAACCAAGGGTTCAGGAGAAAGACCAGCCCTTCTGCTGGCCCACCCTCAACAGCATTCTGTGAGTCAGGAGTGTGCAGGCATTAACTATACACCCTTAGAAGTGGGGACAGTGACCCTTGAGCCACAGAGGTAACTGGAGAATTTATCAGGCATACTTACTAAAACAAAACAAAACACCTAAGCAAAACAAAACAAATAAACAACACAAACCTGTAAGGCCGCTGTTAGTTACAAGTGGGAGGTGTGGGGACTAGGGGACTAGAGTAAGACAGAAAAATAGCTCATCAGCCATCATCACGAGGCTGGAGAGTTAGGGGGCCGAAGGAGGGCAAGCAAGCATGAAGTGTAATTACTAAGACACAGCCAAACTTCAGGAGACCCCCCCCCCCAGAACTCAGGGGAAAGGCTACATCCCCTGATGGGATAAAATGGTCCTGTTCTTAATGTCACATCACAGACGGATGCTCAAGGGGTGCACCAGCCTCTAGAGGAGCTTGCACAGGTGCATGGGAACTTAACTGCTGCAGCATTGCCTCAGATCCCTCCTTCTGGTTGCCATGGAGATTGATCACTTTAATTGCCTTTTGGTCCAGCTCTTGTTGGGACCCTGGACCCTTCTGCTCTGCAGCTGGTGATAAGTACATGGGAGGGTATGGGCATGCACACACCCTCACAGGACTGAATCTACATCTGTGGTTAAGCGTGGAAGAACAGGGGTAACCAGTGAGATCTGCTTACTAGGTTTATCGGACTACAGCGATTGAAATCTGGGGAAGGTTCTCTAGCAGGGGGCATAAGAAAGGACTTGGGGGGGAGAGACAAGGTTGTATAGACTCTCCTTGATGTGGTCCCCATAAACAGCTGTGTGTCATGGCACTTAGCATTAATTTGATGTGTTTCATGAGCAGGGGCGAGATAGTAGATGTGGTATTCTCAGAACTCATATACCTATCGAGCAGGCCACCAAAGTTTTAAAATAGAGTGTAAATCACCTCATGGGTGAATTCCAGCCAGCAAAACTGGGGGATCCTTTAACACTTTTTCCTCTTTGTCCTCTCAAATTCTGGAATTTCTAGTCCTCACCTTCCCCTTTGTGCCCATGCCCACTTTGTTTCCCATGGTCCCCAGAAGCCTCCAGAGCCTTTGCTTAGGCTTTCCCTGGTGTTCCTTCGCACAGCCCAGTGAAGCAAAGGGTGTGGGCTTACTGGGAGGTGTGGTAGAGCTGACTGTTAGAGGGAAGAGTCGGAGAGAAACTGGTGACATTGCAGGCTTCTCGGGGCGCCACTTCTGGGCCATCGATCCTGCCTGGTCCTTGATGCATTGACTAGCTCACATCCTAGTGAACCTTCTGCTATGGAAGCCAGAGAAACTGAGACGGTTCCTGGGGGAGACTATTGGAGGGTCCCCTCCACTCCATTGCTCCTGTGGGACAGTGTTGGGTGTGTGCAGATTGGGGTGAAAGGATTATACATCTGTACTAATAGCCCTTGGATTAGTGAAGGCCTCATGCCCAGAACTTGGCCAGGTCACCGGGTAACTCTGAGGTGCTGCCAATTTGAGGGATGGGGTCCCCCCCTCTTTGTAATGTGTAGGGGCAAAGGAGAGCCTCTCGCCTCCACCTCCATTGGGCACCATGTCAGCTGTCCGTATGTAAAAGGGGGTGCGGTATGGGGAGCAAGTGGTGCAGTGGCTGGCCACCCCACACGGCTGGCTGCAGGGCTCGCTGGTGAGAGGCGCCAGGTTGCCTCTGCCGTCCAGGACTTGGGAGCTGCAGGCATTGCAGGTGGGGGCTCGGGGATGGAGGGAAAGGTCGTGTTCCTCCTCTTCCTCCTCCTCCTCCTCGGCATCCTCATCGTCTGTACTCTTCTTGCAGCAGTAATACTGGGGAGAAAGAAAAGGGGTGCTTGAGAGGCAGTCCAGCTCCCCCTCCCCCATCACTAGTTAGCGTGCCCAGGAACAACCCTCCCTCAGCTTCCGCTGAATACCTCGTGCCAGCCACTTGGTTAGTCAATGGGGAATATACTCCGGCCTCAGAGACCCGCATCCCATTTACTCTCAGCTTTACCCAGCCAATCCTTCTCTTTCTCAATGTGTCCTGGTGGGCAGGGAAGCAGAGAGGGAGGCTCATACACCAATGCAAGGACAAGGCTGGAGGCTGCTGCAGTAGCTTTCAGAGTCTCCCAGGATGGTGACTTCCCTACCAATCCCTATGAACTGGAGAGATGAACGTGAGAGCCTTGCATCTTCCCAGGACACTCCATTGCTTCTGTAGGGTGCAGGGAACGTGTGTACAGGCGCGCGTGTGTGAGGCGCACAGCTCCCTTCTGAACGCGCTCAATTTTCAGCTTCCTTGACTTATGCTTCTCATGTTTTACGGCTTCGGGTTTTGTTGCCTCCAAAGTGGACCTCCCCTTTCTGCCCCCATTATGGAGAAGCGGCTTGCTGGTGGCCCCCCAGCCTCTGCCTAGAGCCCGTGGAACTAACCTGGAGCCTACAGTAGCACAGGACAGCAATGATACAGAGGAGGATCACTGTAGCTAGGATTCCGCCAGTGATCACAACCGTTCCCGCTGTCATCCGCCCGGCGCCCCATCAAACTCTGCAAAGACGCATGCCGGTAAGTGAGGAATAGTCGATCCACATTCTCTGCACAGTAGTAGGTAGGAGGACAGGAGCTGAGTGGACCCAGGCCCGCATGGGCTTCCTGAAGGCAGAGGACTTGCTATGCTTAGACCAGAGTGGGGTGGGGGCCGCAGCGGCTGCAGAAAAAGACAGGCAGAGTGCTAACTGCTCCATTTCTTTAGTCTTTTGGTCTTTCTCTTTTCTGTTGTTTATTATTATTATTATTATCATTATCATCACCATTATTATTATTATATGCATGACTCTCTGTGTGTCAGTGTACGTGTGTATGTGTGTGTATGCCTGTGCCTGCCTGTAGAAGCCAGAGGACAACCTTGGGCATTCTTCCTCAGAGTCTCTCACTGATCTGGAACTTGTCCAGACGAGGCTAGATGGACACAGAGCCCCAGGAATTTCCCTGTTTCTGACTCTCTGATCCTCGGATTACAAATGCCCACCATCACACCTGACTTTTAAAATGTGGGTTCTAGAGATCAAACTCAGGTCCTCTTTGGAGACTGAACTCAAGTCTTCATGCTTTAAGACAAGGCCTATGCTGATGGAGCGATCCCTCCTGCTCCTATGGCTCCAAGAGGGAAGAGAGAAGGATTTTGTCTGGGAAGCATTTTGCTAAGCATCACCCCCACCCCCTCAGTCTGGCTCAGGAATCCTCACATTAACCCTTGAGACAGCTCTTCATTGTCCATGTTCCACATAGGAGGAGGCACCACACTGAAGCTTTGACAAATTTGCCTGGAATTCCACCTAGCCTGGCTCCCCGTAAAAGTCAGCCTCTCTAACACTTCTCTCTTGGGCACAAGTATCAGTGCTTCTGAACATTTGGAGACACGAGTCCAGAGTGAGCTAGCAGACAGCTTCCTGACTCCTGGACAGTCATGGTTAGACTAGGGAAACTGATCCTGGTGCTTGGAGCCAAGTTCCAGGTGAGGCCATCCAGGCTTTTGGCAGGCTGGTGTGTGGTGGTTTCTGAGCCTCCTGGGCATATGGGGGCCCCCACCCCTGCAGCACAGTGGGGGCTGATAGCTGGAGGATGGAGAGAAGACTTCAAGGACTTACACTCAGTGAAGGGAACGATGACCTGTAAGACAACAAAAGGTACAGAGATAGTGGGAAGAGAATGTTACTGCCCAAAAAAGGTCCCTGGGGTCAGTGTATTCCCGAATCTCCACCCAGTCTCATCTCGACATTGCTCTCGGAAGCCCCACTGTTATCTCAAACTCAATATACACAGGATAAAGGCATTTATTTCCAGATAGATGCCCACCTCTGAGCTCTCCCTGTCTGTTATGATTCCACCACACCTGGGCCTCAGCAGCCCCCAGCTTATCAAGTCACGCATCCCGTGTGGTCACCTGGATGAAGGGATACCCATTCCTTCACTCAAAGGTCCTACTTGCTCACCAGTGCTCCTAGAAAGCCGGTTTCTACTACATTTAGAGGTAGCAGCCTTGCTGCTCCTGCCGGGTCTGTGGAGCAGCAGTGTGGGTGTATGCTGGGCACAAGGCATGTCCCGCCCACCAAGCGCCTGAGGAGCGCGAGTCTGCCTTTTCAAAAGCTCTCGGGTGGTTGATTTGCACTTAGTTAGATCAGGGTACAGGATGTGCCCAGCTGTTCTAACTGAAATATCTCAAATGCTTTTGATCTTCTTCAATCTTCTGCTCCCCATGCCAGTTCAGGGTGAACCAGTGTATTGGTGTAACTGACACCCCCGCGTTTGTGTCTGAGCCCCATTCCTTTCGCTGCAGTTTGGTCTTTCATCAGCCCCGCCCTTCGGTGCCCGCATCTCTAACATCTTTCTAGCCCTGCCTGAAAAATAAATATATATTTTAAGTTGACTAGCATCCACCAAAATACAACCTGAAGAGTAGAATATAAAAAGGCATTGCAGGGGCTGGAGAAATGGCCCAGAGGTTAAGAGCACTGGCTGCTCTTCCAGAGGTCCTGAGTTCAATTCTCAGCAACCACATGGTGACTCACAACCATCTATGAGATCTGGTGCCCTCTTCTGGCAGACAGGCATACATGCAGACAGACATTGGATAACTAATAAATAAATTAATTAATTAAAAATGCTGCTTTAAAGAAAGGCATTACAATAGGATCCAGAGATGAGGCAAGGGCTCAGGAACGGGGCAGCCAAGAAAGAATTCCTGGTGCCTTGAAGGATGTGTAAGAGAGATGGTCATGTACCACTAAAAGTTACTCAGGACTTTCCTTCGAAAGAGTGAAAGAGTGAGGCTGGACACAGCCTCAAAGGCTTCACCCTCCCCAGCTGTCCTGTATGCTCACCACCATTTAACTTTTCTTTCTCACCTCCCATTGTTCCCCCAGCTGAAGCCCCTGCCCCATGATGCAGCAGTCCTGGTCTTTAGGAGTTTAGCCATATAAAGGGGTTTAGACACCCTATGACCATAGACCAGGGGTGCAGGGTATGGAGGAGGGGGTGCTGATTACTGAGGAAGATGTCCCCTGCAAGGTCTGAGATGAATCCTCCAAGCTGATAGCATGAAACAGTCCAGGGGCTGAAGAACACGGGGGGGGGGGGGCTGGTGAGCAAGGCTCTGAGAAATGAGAGGGATCTAGAAAGGCTGGGACATTCTAGGGATAGGTCTGGAGCAAACAGGCTTTTGGACAGATGAAGAGCTGAGAGACTGCTTCAATGCCTTTCCATATTCTACTCCTCAAGACTTATTTGGGTGTGTGGCAGTCAACTTAAAAATATATATTTAAACCTGGTGTGGAGTGCATGACTTTAATCCCAGCACTTGGGAGGCAGAGGAAGGTAGGTCTCTGGGAGTTCAAGGCCAGCCTGGTCTACAAAGTGAGTTCTAGGACAGCTAGGGATGTTACACAGAGAAATCCTGTCTCAAATCAGCCAATCAAACAAACAAAATATATGTTTATTTTTATTTTATGTGTATAAGTATTTTGCCTGTGTGTATGTATGAGTACCACATATGTACCTGGTACCAGAGGAAGCCAAAATAAAAGTTGGAGTTACCGATGGCTGTGAGCTGCCATGTAGATGCTGGAAACTGAATCAGGGTCCTCTGCTAAAAATGGCAAGTTCTCTTAATTGCTGAGCCCTGCTAATCAATTTTTGATGCATAAATAGCTTGAGTCTTCTACTAAGATGTAAATTCTTTGCAACCAAGGATTGCGTTATACTGTTCTCCATACCGGCCACTCCCAATATCATACATCACACCATGCGACACAGCAGGCAGGTGTTATATACTCAATAAAAGTTGGGTTATAGGTTCTGCGTGTCACAGGATGAGTTATTAATTTAACTGACCACTAGGGGGCAGCAAGTTGCAACTTTTAATTCCGTCCACAGACTTCAGCATCCCTGTTGAAGATGGATTTGACTTTGCTCAGATGTGTGGCAGGCCATGTTTCTGGGGGTTCCCGAAGCATCTGGTGGGTAGGTGGGGAGTAGGAGGCAAATCTCTTGCTGGAGAGGATTTATAAGATGCCGTTACAACATCCAGCAAACCCTCCCCTGCTTCCACACATACCGCTGAGGTTTGCTTGCAAGACAGAAGTCTACCATAACATCTGCAGGAACAGGGCAGTGACCCAGCCTATAGAAAGTCTTGGCCATTTTTTTTTATTTGTTTTGGTTTTGTTTTAATAATACACAGTTTCAGTTTGTAGCTCAGGTTGGCCAGGAGTTTTCTATGTAGCCCCGCCTGACCTTAAGCTTGTATGTAGCTATCCTTCTCCTGAGACTCTCAAGTGCTGGTACGGCCGGTGTGGAGCCACCATACCGACTTTGAAAGCCTTAGCCCCCTCCATTGGGATGTTTCAGCAGACAGGGGCTTATGGGAAAGCCTTGTAAGAACAGTACCTTCCTCCTTGACTTACCCTGGTTTCCCCTCTTTCAGTTTTAGGGGGCTACACAGTAGCAGTGTCTTAAAATGGGCTGGAGGAAGAAGCCACCATCTGATGGCTGTGTCCTACCTACACCGATACCTCATCTTGGACATTGACCTTTCTGCCTTGGAAAACTGACACACGCAGAAACCCTTGCCAATGTCTGTGAGGAGAAAGTTGGATGTCTACAGTTTGTTGGTTTTGCTTTTTGTTTTTAATTTTAGACACAGGGTCTCATCCTGTCACCATGCTTTCCCAGAACTCACTGTGTAACCCAGGATGGCTTCCAACTCTCAGCAATTCTCCTGTCTCAGTCTCCTAAGCACTGGGGTTGCCGGTGCGAACCATCACGCCTGGCTCTTGTATGTATGTGTATATATTGTTCGTTTGAGACAGGATCTCACTGTGTAGCTCGGTCTGTCCTGGAGCTCATGTAACCTAGGCTGGCTTCGAACTCACAGAGATTTGCCTACCTCTGCCTCCCTAATGCTGGGATTAGGTTGCACTACCGTGCCTGGCACCCTTTTATATTTTTAAAGACCATACCCAGCATGGTTATGTGAGTGGAGCGGGGAGAAGGCTCAGGTATTTCCTGACTGCATGTATGTGCCTTTGTAAGCCGGGAAGGCATGCATGAGATGTGTAAGACGAGCTAAGCAGGCTCAGTCCATTTCCCCAGGACCCGGTACTAACAGTACAATTTGGCCCTTAAATTCCCAACTTAGTGGTTCCCTATTATTTCAGGCAGGATCATTTCCCTTTTTGCAATTAGACCCAAATGGTAATGGTAAATCCTTATACTTATAAATGGCATGGTACAGCTTACCAGGCATATTCCCGCTTATTGTCGGCAGACTTAGAGGAGGCCCCAGTATTCCCCATCCCTGGCACCCACGCCTTGTATGCTGTTCTCACTAACTGTGTGGATGCAGCCCATGACTTGCTTCTAACCAGCAAAAAAGTAGCAAAGGTAATGAGAAGTCACTTCTATGGGCAGGTTCAAGATTCATTTTTTTTTTTCATGAGGCAACTCTTTCTCTTTGCTGCAGTGAGCTGTTATGTTGGGAGATCCAGGCATTGCAGGTGGACTGTGGCCAATAGAAAGCTAGAAACTGAGGCCCTTAGTCCATGGCCCAGAAGTAACAGAACCATTACAGCATCACACAGTGAGATCAGAAGCAAGTCTGTTTCCCACCCACCCAGTCAAGCTTTCAGATGAAACTGCCACCCCAGCCCACGCCTCAAACGCAACCTCTTGATAGATACTGAAGCAATGGACTCAGCTCTCCACCACAGGATTCCTGACTCACAGAGACTCTGGGGGTGTTCTCTGGGTGTTGTTTTAAGCTGTTAAGTTTGCTTCACAGCAAAAAAGAGCAACTAATACACCTTCTTGGACATTACCAAAAAGTCCTATGACACGGGCAGAGAGGCCCCACTTCTCAGAGACCTAGCTGGAGTCACAGGGTAGCAAGTGTCTGAGCCAGGACTTCAGGGCTAGTGGTGTGGATCTCTATCAGAACTTCTGCCTCTTGAGTAGCTTCGTGAGAAGGAGAACAAAGTTCCTGTGTTCTCACCCAAGTCCTATCAGATCTGGGGCAGAGCAACTCAGTGGCGGCCAACCCAAGATACTGGAGTCAGCAAAGATGAAGAATTCTGAGGGTCTTGGCTCTGAGTCCAGGTTTCATAATACTCCCACTACACCCATCTTCCCGCCTGGAGCGCAGATGCTTCTGGGAATGAAAGCTTTGGCCTGTGCCTTGTACTCACAGGAAAGAGCTGGAGCAGCTGTGGCTCAGTCATGCGGGCTGAACATGAGCAGATAGCAGCTGGGGGTGTATCACGGCCAAGGGCATCATCAGTCCCTGCTAGAGAAGAAGGGGGAGTTAGTGGGAGTTGTATGTGGATTTGAATGGTCCGATAAGCTAGGAGATCTTCAAGACTTGGAAGATCATACTCCATCCCATCCCAGACTCATTTTCTTCTTTGATCACTGCTGTATCACTATAAACTCCCCCCCCCCCCAGTGCAGCAGTATAACAATGGGCAAGGGTGCCTGGGGCAAGAGCCTCCGGGGGACAGGATCCCATCTACATCTTTCAACCTCCTCTAGGGAACTCAAGTGTGTGCTCTGTGTGTGATGCTCAGCTCAGCTCAAGTGTGCTGGGAGGGGATCCAGTCATTAGTGATACCACAGAACCACTTTCTGAAAGGACACACTGAAGACCCTTGGCTTCTCTACCCCAGAAGCTGGAGGTCAAGGATTGGTGCCTAACCAGCAGGACTTGGGAGCAGAACTTGGGAAAAGATGACAGGGGATGTGTGGACCTCTAGAGTGACCCAGTCCACACATCACCTTCCTCTCTGATCAGGGTAATTTCTGCCCCTGATGCCATGAATGCTACCTTTGTTAGGGTTCTCTATTGCTGTGAAGAGACACCATGACCACAGCAGCTCTTATAAAGAAAACATTTAGTTGGGTGACTCACAGTTTCAGAGTTCAGTCCATTATCATAATGACAGGGAGCATGGTGGTGTACAGGCAGACATGGTGCTGGAGCTGAGAGAGCTACAACTTGCAGGCAACAGGAAGTGAACTGATTGCCACACCGAGGGAAGCTTGAGCAAAAGAGACCTCAAAGCTCACCCCCACAGTGACACACTTCCTCCAACAAGGCCACACCTCCTAATAGTGCCACTCCCCTTGGTGGCCATTTTCTTTCAAACCACCACAGGTAACCGGGCTTTCTTTTCTCAAGGATGTTCTCACTCTCTGAATGGTAAGTCAGATCACATCTATGGACAGGGTCAATATTGGACTTGTTTCACTAGCTAACTCGCTCCTGGCTGGCTTTTTGTAGTAAGCTGCTATGTTGGGAGCTTCATCTGGCTGGGCTCTGTCCAAGCTCAAGCTGGGAACTGAATTTGGAGTGAGATTTCAAAGCATACTCATGGAAGTCAGAAGACCACAGAGCATTGGGGACAGGTTCCCCCATTCCCACTATGTGAAAAATCTACAGTGGAAACAGAAGGAGTTGTTTTCAGCATCCAGACCCACACTCCACACAAATAAGATGGACCAGCAATTTGGTGAAGAACCTAGAAGCTCTCTGGCAGAGCGATTGCTGAGCTATGAATGCCCCCTTCCTGCCCCTGTGGGATAGAAGCTGTGGCCGGCCCAATGTTCTGGGCCTGTAGTGCCATTAATGAGATAGTCCCAACAAAAGAAGCCAGGTGATACCCAAGGGCTAGGCAAGGAGTTGCCAGGGGCCCCTGGAATGGAGCTGGTGAGTTTGCAGGGCTCAGGGAGACTCATGGCTGCTCTTAAATGCACAGAGGCAAGAGCCAAGTTTAAGCTCCTCTCAGTTCTTTTTTTTAAAAAATATTTATTTATTTATTATGTATACAATATTCTGTCAGTGTGTATGCTTGCTGGCCTGAAGAGGGCACCAGACCCCATTACAGATGGTTGTGAGCCACCATGTGGTTGCTGGGAATTGAACTCATGACCTTTGGAAGAGCAGGCAATGCTCTTAACCTCTGAGCCATCTCTCCAGCCCCCTCCTCTCAGTTCTTTAGCCAATAAAAGTGCACACTACCCTGGCAAGGTAGTGAAAATGAAAGCCATGAACCCACAGGAACACACACACACACACATCTATGATAAAATAAAGGTAATTTATTAAACAAGTGTGCTACATGGGCTTTGCTCAAAAAATGTTTTTTGAGAATCCTTTTTAAATAGTCAGTGGGGAAATCTCTCTCCTTCCCCTCTAAACAAAACTAACAGTCCAGTCAAATCACACCTTGGGCTGATCCAACTGCTGTTTAATTTATTCTCAAAAGAGAGTTGCTTGTGTTTTCACAGACTTCAGAGTGCCAGTCATGAGACGTCAGCACCCTCCAGTCTGGTGGTATTGCTTTGCCTCCGGTTTGTCTGCTCAGGCGGAAGTGGCTAGAGAGGTCCCGGCCACTGTACCACCCCTCCCTCTTTCTGTAGTTACCCACTCCCAAGATTTTCACTTTAGAAAAACAATTCATGGAAATGTAAAGATTCCATGAGGGTTGTCCCCGATATCTTATTTAATAAGAAGCCAAGTTCAGTTCAGAGGGGCCGAGTAGCTTGCTTAATCACACACAGCAAGGCAGAGACAGACAGACCGGGAGAGGCCCTGAGAGTGGAGCATCCTGACTCTGAGCCCCCTGTCTCTCCTTCCAGAACTGCACGCCTTTCACCAGGCGCCGAGGCGTCCCCTGGAGTACTTTCTTGAAACAGATTGACAGTAACAACCAGCTGAGCCACACGTTAAGAAACAGAGACCCTGAACGCCCCAGAGCCACATCCACAGTGGCTGGGCCGGCGCGGGAGTCTGTGTTGTACCAGGTTTGTGTCTGACCGTCTGGCCCTTTGGGGGAAGTGACAGAGGAATGAAGATCTTTGGGAGGCAACAGGGTGGCATGGGAAGTGTGTAGGAGGGGTGACCTTGCAGCGTTGGTGGCATCATCTGGTTCCCATGTCAAGACTGGTTCCAGGTTCTGTGTCTTTGGGGCCAAGTCCACTAGCAGTCTGGACGTGGGTCGGTCCATCAGCAGAGAGCCGGTGAGGAAGTCAGGACATGGGGCTTAGAGGATGACATTCTTCTAGCACAGAGAAGGAGGGACACTAAAAGCCACTTTCCATCAGCCCAGAGGTCCCTCCTCTCTCAGAGGAGGTCCCTTACCAACAGTGACCCCAAATTCCATTAGCAGGGTTCCCTCACTCACTCCCTGGGTGACTTAGGAAGAGAACTACAGGATGCAGCTGCACCCAGGCATGTAATTAATGGCTCCACCCCCTTAGGAACACAAATTAACTGAGTGGGGCCTGAGCACCTGCTGTCAATTTCTTCCGATGCAATTAAGCCTTCTCCAGCCATTTATTAACTG